CAACCAAAATGTGAGCAAATACTTTTTTGTACAATATTTACCTAATACCTACCTACCTTAAATTAGATACAATTAAATACAAAACAAGTAGTATTATTCAAAAATTAGACAAAGCAAATTTTAAATACCAATATCTTGTATTAAAACAGTTTTTTTTTTTAATATACCACATTTATCTGATTTAAATATTAAATATATTGAATTTAAAGCTTTGTCCGAGGATTTTTACAAMTTATTTTAAATCAAWTACCTAATAAGATTTACCATTTATTGTATTATAATTTAAATATTGTGCTTTATATTTTCTTAAGATAAATTTGATCAATCCTATCGTTACATTTTAAAATCATTGTTGGTTCATAATTATTACCAGTCATATTAGCATTTTTATATCATATATTATAAATTTGTTTTATTTAAAACGATAATATTTTGATGTAGAACGTTTAGTTTTATGTATTTAAAACAAATATATTTTATACAGTAAAACAGGATTGTAAAAATTTGTATGTAGGTACTAGAGCCCTGCATGGGCCTAACTTCTGAAKCCCAAGCTTACCTACTTACTCCCAGCTATCACTTAAATATATGCTATATAGCTAGACCAAGTCCGATTTTTCAGTGAAATATATGACCTTAACCATATTTTATTCGAATGGTTAAAAACCACTACTGTACAATGTACACTATTACCAAGTACTATCTAGTACCTAGTAGGTACCTAGTGACAACTACCTAGTACTTGGAGCCGCGTCAAAGCACCGAAAACCAACAYCATACSTAAGTCTCGTATAAATTATTATAAAAATTATCTGTAATCATTATGAAAATGAAAACGATACACCTTACGATTCGACCATTTGAAGTTTTATTTCTGGTACTAAAGTCACTGTTATTATCGCCCATATAACATATTTCCCATATAATTGTATCCGTGTGTAGTTTCAATTTTTCGATAATTTAGGAGCACTAAAAATATTGTGAACACCCAAAGGAGCCAAGTGCTGAAAAAGTTTGATACCTCTGCTARGTATATAGTATTTAATTCTTKATTAATTTCATAACTCACRATGTTTTAATTTAAAAATTATGTCRGCCTCAGYGCAACACCATTAATTGGTTTTGGTTWCCTACACAAACGCTCTGTATATGTAGATAAAAATATAATGTTAATCTAAAATCGTTTCAATGATTTTTWGAGTAAACTCGGTGTTATCTCTGATTTCAAAAATTACCATTATACCTATATTAAATTATAGGATAATATTTTTGAGTGTTTAATATGGAAAAAAGTATTTTTAGGCGAATCGTTTTTCTAACGTCTAATCATCAAAATGATGTTAGTCGTTTTTCTGCGACTATCCTTAACCAAATACTATAAATGACAATACGGGACAACTAGTGTCAAAAATCGCGACATAAGCATGCCCCCTGATAAAGTAACTAACGCGCTCTACGATTGTAATTTGTAATATTCAGCTATATTATAGGCACGGTAGATTATAATCTACCGTGATTATAGATAACAGAAATTATTATAGAACAGAAATTTTTTTTATAAGTGCTTATAGTTCTAATTTTTGAAATATATCGAAACTGCAAGTAATTTTGTAGTTGAAAAATCATAAAAAATTGTGTGTTTATATTTAAGATTAAAAAATTCAACACTAAGTTTTCCGTATGTTTTCCTTCAAGTAGCTGTAGAGAAAACTCGAAGAACGGTATAGGAAAAATTTTAAGCATTTGAGTTTCAAATTTTTATGAAATTGCGTAACAATAACGATTTTCAATATTTGTTGTTAGGTACCTACCTATTCATAAT